TTATAGTAATAATACTACTTTAAATTTAGTTCTAGAGGTATTAAGTTTATTTAAGTATTAAGGGTATTATTAATAGCTTCTATAATATTAGTAGAAGTTTAGTAAAGCTAAATACTTTCTTATAGTTAGTTATTATTACTAAGATAGTAAAAATATTAAGGGTAAGTTTACTAAGCGTTAGAAAGGTTTATTAATATAAAATCTACTATTAAATAAGGTTATTAATAAGCTAGGTAATAGAGAGATAGAAATATTACTCTAGCTTATTAAAATTATTAATAGTAGCGTTATAAGCCTTATTAGCTAACTATTAATAATATTTAGAGTCTTTAGCTTTTAGAGTAATAGTAATTAATATAAATATAGTTTATAGAGGCTATAGATAAAGCTATAGATTAGCTTAGTTAGATATATTAGTATATTATTATTATTAATACTTATAAAGTCTTTCTTAAGTATTATATACTTATATATAAGTTTCTAAGGTATTCTAATACTTTTAAAGCTATTATAAACCTTACTTAGGATATAGAATTACTATAGTAGTATAGAGGGGAGACTTTATAAGCTTAATATAATATTTATTAAGTACTTATTAGCTATTAATAATTAATAAGTATAGATATTTATAAGAGTTAAAGTTAATACCTTAAGAGTATTATAACTATAAGTATTTAAGCTATAAGTAAGTAGAGATATTATTAATTAATAGGGACTATAAAACTACTATTAAGCCTTACTAAGAGTGTTAAGATACTTTTATAAGTTAAGATAGTTACTATAACTAACTCTTAATAAGTTAAGTAGCTATATAATTAATCTTAGTATTAATAGAGGTATTAAAGAGCTTATATTAATCTTTAAGATAATCTAAGAAATACTTTATACTTATTAGAACCTCTTAGAGTTAGCTATACTTATTATTTTTACTTTAGCTTTTATATTTCTTAGTTTACTTATAAAGTAGTTTAAGTATTTTATATAACTCTATGAGAATTTATTAGTCTTTATTAGTGAGGATATCCTTACTTAAGATATAATTTATATTATTAGGAAAACTTAGAGTGTAAAAGATATAACTATTAATCTAGCTATATTTAAGTAGGGCTTATTTAATTATATTATATATTAAGTTTTATTAAGTAGTATTATTTAATATTAAATTTAGCTCTTAAGATAACTCTTCCTATAAAGTAAAGTTAGTATTATTATTAGTAGCCTTATTACTAATAGCTAAAAAGCTTTTAGATTATTATAGTAATAATCTAATATACTTAATAATATTCTAGAGTTTACTAATAAAGCCTTTCTACTTCTAGTAGGCTAAGTTATTTTAAACTCTATTAATATTAAGTAGATAGTTAGACTCCTCTTTAAACACTTTATTATTAACGCTATAAATAATAATATAACTAATAAGGTTAAGGATATAGCTATAATATTAAATTTAGTATTATTAGGTGTTAGTTTTTATATATAAAGATAATAGAGAAAGAAAGAGAGCTTTAAGGTAAGTATTATTATTTATAGCGTTATTAAATATAATAATACTAACCTAATTAATAAGGCTTTAGTTTATAAGAGTAGTATAAATAGTTATAATAATATTCTTACTAGAGTAAGTACTAAGCTAGTAGTAGAGAGCTAATAAATATTAAGTCTATTTCCCTAATTAGTTAATAAAGTAGCTAAATATAGTAATAATAGTATATTAATTAGGGGAGGTCTATAGATTAAATAATATATAGACCTTTATAAGTACTTTCTATATCTTATTTTTAATTTATTCCTTTTTAGAGATATAGAGGTAATATAGTTAAGCTTTCTAAGAGTTTCTTAACTAATATACTTAGTTATAGATATTATAATTAAAAAGACTAAGTAAATACTATATATATTAGTTACTAAATATTAAGAAAGAGTTATTAGTATTAATAAAGAAGTTAATAGCTAGCTCTTTAATCTAAGAAACTTTACTATAAAGTATAGTAATAAGAGTAGAACGTTAGCGCTTAGAGAGGTGCTTATTATTTTTAGAATTATTACTAAATAGATATTTAGTATAGGGGTATTCTTTATAGATATAGTAAGTAAATTTAAAGTACTTCTTAGTATTAGATATAGTAGTAGCTTTCTATAGCTCTCTAAAAGTACTAGCTTTATTATAGTATTAATAAACCTAATAAGTATTACTTAGATATATTATTAGTATATAAAAAAGTATAGTAGAAAGTAAGTAAGTAATAAGTATACTTCTAATACTACTTAAGAAGATCTTATAGATAAAAATACTTTTATTTTTAATCTAAGAAGTATAACTTTAATTACTTTTCTTTAAGATAGCTTCTATATTAATATAGCGCTACCTCTTCTAGATAGTATAAAGTAGGGCTTTAAGAGTAGTATACTTATTAAGGTTAGTAGTTAATATATTACTAATAGTTAAAAAAGCTTAAATCTAAGTAGTAATCTCTTAAGAAGTTATTTTATAGCTAATAAAGTGATTAATATATTAGTTATATATTAGTAGAGGTATTATAATAGTAAGAGAGAGGTTAAAAAAGGTATTTAGAAATGTATAGAAGTAAGGTTTTAAAGTATAATAGTAGTAGTAGTAGTAATAATAATACTAGTAGTAATATTAAAAAGGGTTATTTTTAAGGGCTAGTAAAAAGGTTAAAAATAGGCTTTTTTTAACCTTTAGTAAGGAGGCTAAAAATATATTAATTAAGTAGTATAATAAAAAGTATATTTCTAGTATTTTTAGTATTTCTTAGTAGTAAGGCTAATACTACTAAGAAGTATTTAGCTCTACTTTACTACCTATTAGTATAAAAGTATTACTAAACTAATATTATTAACTATTTATCCTTTTTTTTTTTAGAGATATATTATAATAGGACCTAATAAGCTAATAGTAAGTTTACTATATAGGAAATTATAGAGATATTAGTTTAAAACTAGCTTAAGTTATTAACTATAGTATAAAAGCTTAAAAAGTTATAACTTTAAGCTACTAAAAAAGAATATCTAGTTAACTTTTTTATTTTTTTATTAAATCTTTTAAAAATTCTAATTAGTTTAGAGGTTAGATTTTTATTCTTCTAAGTAATATTAGTTTAATTAAGATAGTTAAACTAAGGGTATTATGAGTTTAGCTAATTAACTCTAAAAAAAGCCTCGTTTTGATTAGCTAATTGATTAATTTGATTGATTTGGCTTGATTGGGTAGCAGCGCTGATTTTCCGTTGAGTGCGAGAGGAACCAGCGGCAAGTCGACGCCCAACCTCGAGGTTGGAAATATTGCGGGTACATGTTCTGGCGCTCTTAACAAGAAGTTGCTAGCAAGTGATACTTGGTACTTCTCCAACATCCAATTCTCTGGAAGGAAGAATCTCGGGGTGCCGGAAGCGCGACGGAAAGCCTGATCCACGGAGTTTTTCAAAGTGGAAAGGCTCTTTTCAGAGAAGTCTACCATCTTTATGTTTGGAGGGCCCGAAAACACGATGGACTCGGCCGAGTGGAAGTCGCAGATAAATCCATTGAAATGGATTTGAATCTGTCCATGGGCATGCTTCATTGCCTGGCGCAACTCTGAAAGCCTAAGAGGGGCGGTCCAAATGTGGTTGCTGTCGAACTCGAAACTCAAACATGCGCCCACAAGCCCTAGTAAGGGGTGTTGGCGAAATTCGAACTGAAAGCTGTGACCGAGTATGATAGGATAGCCAGTGGTTCCTTCTAGCAACAGAGTGTGTGTGTCCGGATACAAGGCAGCGGTGGAAATGATCACGCCGATCTCCGCGTATGCAGGTGCGGCACGAGATCATCGGGCAAAAAGCCGACGTCCACAGACCGGGAGAATCCATACTCGTCCTGCGTCACAACTCCATCTAGACCTACCATTCTGAAAAAGTTCGGCCATGTTGCTGCCGTCTGCTGGAAGGCGTACTTCCGTCCAACCTTTTTCTCATTGCGCGGTCCGGGGCCGCGTATCTCTCCACTCGTATCACTTTCTTCCCGCTCCATTTCCCACTCCTTTACCTGCAGGCTTAGGCTGCGAAAGATGGGGACCTGAACCACGAAATCGAAAGTCCACTCGGATTTGTTCCATCGTCGCTTTCTATTCTCTGACCAGGGACCAATTGCGCGCCTGCTGCTCCTTCGATTCGCTCGTCCAGCAGTGAGGAAAGCCTGGACAACAGGAATGAGGGCGAAAATAATGGCTATGACGCCAATGATGGCGGTGAAGACGAATGTAACTGGGTCCCAATCGATTTTCGCATCGTCCGCTCTGTTTTGATCGCCAACAAGCTGAATGAGAGTCCGAAGGAGGCAATCGGTTGAGTTGCTATCCTCGGGACACTTCGAACTGTCATTGTCCATGATGAACCCGTGGCTGTGAGAACGTTATGCATTAATTGGAAGGAAATGGTTCATGAGTTGGACGGAACTTGGCTGGGCACAATCTTGGTATGATAGGAGGGACTTCACACATTATAATATTTTCTGCGGTGCTGCCTGATATGCCGTGACGAGGCAGGCTACGTGATTCGGAATATGTTGCTTATGTTCTTGGCACACCCATCGATCCTTTTGCATCACACCTTTTCGTGGATTTGTGTAACATTTAATACGTGCTGATTGGTTAACTGCTTGCCTCTGCCTCTGACTGTGCCAAATTGCTTCACTTACTATGAGAAACGAAGAAACTCAACTGACGGCCCCTTCAGTGGCTGGAAACACACGAAACATAGCAGTCTTCTTCGGAAGGCCCCGTCAAAATGTGCATGGATAGTTTGCCAGTTTCATTCAGATATTGTTACACTAATTTGGAAGTCCTTGCATACCGTAGCATAACAGTTGTGACTCTTTCCCGAGCTCGGGATTTCTCGCGTGGAAGAAACTCTCACCAACCCTTACCCTGGGTGTGGCATGACGTATTGTTTTCTTCCGATTGCAATCCAATAACCCAGAGCATAGATTACGACTCCTACCAACACTCACGACACATAGTTCATTTCAAGGGTCGCCACTGGTTGGTAGTAGGGAAAGGAGTAAAACACGACACTAATAGCGGACCACGCCAACGTGATTATGCTCGCAATAAAGCCCAGCTTAGGAAACCAAAAAGGTCCATGTACCATCTCAGAACGGCCCGTCCACAAGAGGCAAAGGATTCCTATCGAATATGTGATATACTGCAGCAAGATGCCCGCGGAGATAAAGGAATTGAAGGCAAGGCTCGACGCTAGGTAGAGACATCCGAGAAGAGCGACCCAGAAGCATGACCAGACGTGTGCCCAGACAGGGACATCGAATGGCTTGGGTGCTATCTTCGACATGTGTCTGTGAAATGGAAACGCTCTGTCTTTGCTGAATGCCCACGCCATGCGAGACTGCCATGTATGACAGCCGATCATGGCACCCGCTGCCGAAAACGTGACGAGGCTCTGAAGCACGATGGCTACTGTCTTATTTTGGTAAACCTGGTAAAACAGTTCGAGAGAGGGCGTGCCAGATGCGGCGATGGCCGGCAAATCCGTAGCCGCGAAGAACAGCGCAAAGACTATCGGTAACCCAGTGAATGTTCCCAGTGCAACAGTGCACAGGAGAGCCATTGGGATGTTTCTGCGTGGTTGAGGGATCTCGTCCGTGAGATGGACCACGGCGTCAAGGCATGAAAACGCCCAATTTGTCGCGCTGAGGCCTATCAGGAACGCGACCCCGTTGGGCCACCCAGAAACGTTGTAGATCTCGGCAAAGAAGTTGTGAGCTGTCTGCTTCTCGGATCTCCCAGCTAGAAGGGCTGCAAAGGTGGCGAAGACCATCGAGCAGGTGTAAAGCAGGGGTATCTTGCTAACTCAGGGCAGCAAGCGGTGCAAGAATTGAAACCGGAAGCGAAAATGTTGACAGATTGAAAGTCGGCGATGACCATCCAGGGATGTTACAAAAGCCCGGTCTTACTACTGCGACCATGTTGAATGTGCTGAGGGAAATCACCAGGCAGACGGGAGCTGAGACGCAGACCGCGCTAGCCCAAGTGATGACGCCAGTCAGGCATGATAGAGGACGTGAAATTGACGAGGAACCAAGCGCGGCTACCCAGTAGTATTGTCCTCCAGAATGTGGCAAGGGCGGAGGCAAGTTCAACGTTGCTGACTGTAACGGCGAAGCCGACGATCGCCATGGAAATAAAACCGTGAAGAAGGTCAGGGCGCCGTCAAAGTCGATTTCCGTCGATAGCCCGACGATGACTCCTACGTCTGTGTCAGTGATAGAGTGGCCGATTCTCATAGCGGTAGGTAAATAGCTTTTCGTCAAGTCATTGACCTTCGACGACGGAAGTTATTTACCAGAGAGCTTTGCGATTGGTTTTCCCTTCAACGTCAAACACGGGTTGGGTTGCAGTCGTTTGCAAACGAGTGCCACGTTGATGTTTTGGGGATACTGCGATACCTGGACCCTTAGCTTGCGGCGAACTACTGAAATTGAATGATTTGATTCCTAGGCTAGCAAAAAATGACCGTTGTTTCGACCAGAGACATCCTCTACTTTCAGGTACACAACCAAGAAGATGCTGGTTCGAGGTGATACCTGCTTCAAGATCGCTTGGCGTAAGCCTGACAAGCGCACCCAATTGAGGCCCCCTCTTCATAACCAAGACATGGTACAGCCGAAGGTAACACGTAATCGAGACATGCCATGGGAACTCCAGCCAAGTACAATGGCTGAAATAGATCCGTCCACAAGCCGTAGTGAGATGCATCGACAAGAACATTGAAGTTGAAGTTGTTGCCCTGTTGGCTCGCGATTTTTTCTGCATCACACTGACAGACAGCCATTCTGCGTCGCTTATTTTCATACATCAACATGCCTTTCAGGTGCTCTTCATAACATCTTGGGGACATTGCAAAGGCTTGATCGTACCATCCGGAAGTCAGCCGCAATCTATGTTGACTTACGACACAAAGTGTCTCTCTATTGTGTGAGCCAAGATTCGAAAAACAGATCAGCAGACTTTTCAGAAGGGAAAAACTTAGGAAGGGAGCCTCTACTTTGGGCCATATTAAGTACTTACATCAAAGTGCCTTTAGCTGTCTTAAAACACTCCCTTACATGTTGTACCTCATCCGAGTTAGGAAAAAGGACGTATTGCTGCTTGCCATCGTGTCGTGGAAACCCGCCACCGACGGTTGATCAAGAAGAAGTCTACGTTAAAAGCAGACAGGGGAATCAGAAAACGACACATGCTCCTCCATGATGCCACGATATTTTGCAAGAGCACAATACTAGTCTGTCATTGCCTAGAGGTCATTTTACGTCTCTATTCTTCTACTATCGCGTCAACAGCTGCTCACTTTAACCGCGCACAATGAAAAGTGCAAAATCTCACTTGTGCCTACTCATCAGCACCTTTTGGGCGTTAATTTGCGTCCATGCCGTTCGAGAGAATGCATTTGGCCAGTATGCTGACCGCTGCCCTTGGCCATGCAGCCGCGTGGGCTCCGATTCGGCCAACTGGACGCGGGTTTACCGCCTCAGCGACCTAGGGCACTGCAATGATCCTGTTCTATTCGACATCAACGTACAAAATTCCGTGGACGATATCGACAGCCAAATCACTATGAGTGTTTGTTCTCAGGCAGATTCCATAAGCAAGAGCGTCTCTGACCCCCTAAGCCCGCCTAACTCTGTACACACCGTCTGCGGCGCCAAGTTGAGCCAGACTTCTTTGAAGGCTCAGATAGCCGCCAAGACAGAATCTTCGCCTACCTTCGAACTTGATGGTGAAGATGTCAGCAAAGCAGTCGGCCAACTTGTGTCGTATATCCGACGCGCTGCGCCTTGCGGAACGAATATCATGTTTGCTAAGTCTGGAAACGTCGTTGTCGGCATGTACTCAGGTGCAGAGATTCAACGGGAGAGCGCCGCCAAAGTCATCGAGAAGCTACAGCAACACACGAGCCTTGCCATTCGAACACTACAAGTCTGTTTACCAGATAGCATCGCTGCCCGGACGCTAGGAGTCTTTGTGGGCAGCCTGGACAAAATATCGATGGTCCAAGGAGCGGTGAAATCATGGACCAACGGCCAATGCATTACTCTGGAGAATCCAAGAAATGAGTCACTCGACGTAGACCTGGGATTTCTCGTCTCAGAAATAGAAGCCAGCAACATCTCGACAACCGCAGTACGATTCCGACGAGCACTGTGTCGGGATACACAAGTCGCGGCCGGAGACAGCTGTGCCTCTCTAGCAAGCCGATGCCGTATTTCCGGGAACGACTTCACGAAATTCAATCCCAAAAAAGACCTCTGCTCAACTCTGAAGCCCAAGCAATGGGTTTGTTGTACAGCAGGCGATTTGCCGGATCGTAAGTACAAGAAAAGCTTAATTTGACACTGGCATATTCTTACGCCCTCCCAGACAGACCTCAACCTAACCCTGATGGCACGTGCAACTGGTACAAGGTCCAGTCTGAAGACGGCTGCTGGTCTATTGGAGAATCATTTGGTATTGATCAGAATCGAATCGAGGAGGTGAACAAGAAGACTTGGGGCTGGGCTGGCTGCTCCCGATTGCAACAGGGCCAGAGAATCTGCCTAAGTCCTGGAACGCCACCCTTTCCACCAGCCGTCCCCGACACCCAATGCGGGCCTCAAGTACTCGGCACCAAGAAACCTATCGACGGCACTCCTTGGGAACAACTCAATCCATGTCCTCTCAAGGCCTGCTGCGACGTCTGGGGCTTTTGCGGGACAACGACAGAGTTCTGCACCAAGACACCGGCCGACACAGGCGCTCCTGGGACTGCCAAACCGGGGACCAACGGCTGCATATCCAACTGCGGAACCAATATTGTCAACAACGACAAGCCACCGGCCTTCTTCAGAACAGTCGGCTATTTCGAGAGCTGGAACCATCGGCGGCCATGTCTGAAGATGGACGCGAGACAAATCGATACTCGTGCTGTCAATCACGTCCATTTCGCCTTCGCGACACTCGACAAGGACTTTGGGGTGTCTATCGATGATAACGTGAAGGAACAATGGCGGCAATTCCGTGAGCTCAAGACGAAGAGAGTCGCATCATTCGGGGGATGGGATTTCAGCACAAAGCCTGATACTCTGTGGCGATTTCGAGACGCGACTAAAGCTGAAAACCGGCTCACGTTCGCGGGAAATGCCGTCGCATTCCTCATCAAGGAGGGAATTGATGGCCTCGATTTCGACTGGGAGTACCCTTCTGCGCCTGACATCGATGGAGTTCCACCGGGTTCCGAGGCCGAAGGAAAGAACTATCTTGAGTTTCTGAAGTTAGTCAGGACCAAGTTACCCCCCGGAAAGACGCTCTCGATCGCCCTCCCAGCTTCTTTCTGGTACCTCAAGCCGTACCCATTGGAGGAGCTTGCAAAAGTGTGCGACTACTTTGTTTACATGACGTGAGTTTTCCTCAATACTTTCTTCTACCTGCGCTGACTCTGGATGGCAGTTATGACTTTCACGGTCAATGGGATATGAACAACAAGTGGGCAACATCTGGCTGTCCAAAGGGAAACTGTCTTAGATCACACATAAATAAGACGCTGACGGAAACCGCTCTGTCAAGTATGTATTATCATGCATGGCCCCGGGGTGCTGATCGAACTTCGACACTAATCTTCAATTTCAGTGATTACCAAAGCCGGCGTACCAGCAAGCAAGGTGCTTGTAGGTGTGTCCAGCTACGGTCGCAGTTTTCGCATGAGTCAACCAGATTGCTTTGGCCCTATGTGCACTTACACAGGCACGAGGAGTCGCTCCGATGCTTATCATGGCCGATGTACAGACACGGGTGGCTACATCTCGAACGCCGAAATAGAGGAGATCATTGAGTCAAACCCAAAACAATACCCTTTAGTCCGCCAACTTTTCGACAAAAGCTCAGATTCAAACATTCTGATTTATGGTACCCGTCAAGAAGCCGATTATGTTGCATTTATGAAGGCCCCTGTTAAACAGGGCCGCTCAGACTGGGTCAGACAACTCAACTTTGGTGGCACAACAGACTGGGCTGTCGATTTGATGGAATTCAAGCAGCGCAAGGAAGATGAGGATTTGCCCGGCTCAGACATAACATGTTTTAAAGCGGAAAAGACATTCGACCGTACGACGCAGCCCATTGGACAGTTCTGGACGCCCTCGCGAGATACAGGAAGACAGTACGTCACCATTGTCAATATGACTCCGCATGTTTTCGACCTCAAGTCATCACCGTCGCGCAACTTCGAAAATTTCAGTTGGAGATCCGTCCCTCCTGGCAGGGCTGCCCAAAATACGGTGGTTTATCGGTCGAGTGCTGGCGGTGGCGAGGCGTCTTACGAGATCCGCGGTACTGGCAAGCGCTTTTACGTCCGTGTCGGGTCAGCTTCCAAACTGGTGCCCGTGCCTGGTCCTGGTGACAGAGTCGTCATGTTCGACCTCAGCGACATGGGTAATGGCCAGCGCGAGTACAAATTTCCCGGAGAAGAGGCCTGCGTCACTCTTGTCATTACAGGCAGTGCATCGTTCGGTTTCGTCACTTCTTTACCGCCCTCCGGTCCGACCGGCTGGATGAGCGCCATCAAGGACGTGATTAAAGATCGCAGCCTCGCCGATGTGGTTATGCCGGGCACGCACGACTCTGGCATGAGCATAATTTCGAATGGAATTGCAAGCTTCGGCAGCGAAATGAATACACAGACACAGGCTCTCAATATCTACGATCAACTAAGTTTCGGCTCTCGCTGGTTTGACCTACGTGTATCATCAGTTCACAAGATTGGAAACTTCGATGACTTCACGTTTTGGTCCATGCATCTAAACGATGAGACGGCCGATTTTCCAGTTGGTAATACTGGCGAGCGCTTCAGCACCATCATCGATGAAATTAACAAATTCACCAGCGAGAATCCCGGCGAGATCATCATCCTTCAACTTCGCTATCTCACTGGCATCACAATGTATCTCCCTCCATCAGTTTCATTCTGGAACGAGAATATGAAGAACGAGTTCTTCAAAGAGCTGAAAAAAATTAACAATCGCTGCCCAAATCTGAATACCGACGATTCAAACACCATCGATAAACATAAAATGGGGGAATTGATGGGTCGTAACGGTGGGAAAGGTTGCGTGCTCATTTTCTTGAACACCTCCAACCTGAAGCGAAAGATTCCTGACGAGGAAAAACATATCTCGGTTGCCGACGGGTTTTACCACTGGGAAAACTCAATGAAATGGAAAGACGCCTGGCCAAACGAAGAAACAACGATACCAATGGTCGATTGGGCGGTGAAAGACTGGCAATCTCGAAAGTCGAGGGGCTATTTGCATGTAGCCCAGTGGCTGTGCACGCCAAATGCCGCATTCTCCACGTTTGTACAAAGCCTTGAGGATATTGCTCTCATCCCAACCAATCCGTCACTTTATTGGGCGGGTGTCAATAAGATGTCTCCTGAGGTTTTCCCCAGCGTACTGATGGTCGATTACTTTGGGCGAGTACGCCCTGACTCAACGGTTCGCAGCAATGACTTGCTGATCCTCACCCTTGGGCTCAATTTATATATGGTCAGCGAGAATTGCGAGATTAACAAGCGGCGATCGCCATTACTGCCTGGACCGGACCGCGGCACAAGAAGCGTCAACCCGCTCATCTCGTCGTGGAATGGCATCATTTTCGCCAACGGGACTACGATAGACCACCCACCTCCCGGTTTGCACCCTGGCCGATTAGAAATTCTGCAAAATGGGACAGTCTTTGATAACGGAACTGTTTTGAAGGAGGATATTCCGAACCCGGACTTCAATTCTGCGTGGTAGCCATGATAAGTTTATGTGTGATTCAAGTCGGTGTAGCCGATGGTCGACTAAGCAACTGCTAGCCTTGGTAGATTCAGGATGATCAGCTTTCAATAATGACAACACTCGCCATTGAATCACTTCTTGGTTTAAAAGTGCTGAAGTTGTGCATACTGTGCTTCCATACACCCGTACTACTTCCTTAGAAAACCGTTGTCCCTATTGTTATTTCACTGCGATGGCTGCAGACTTAATTGCTCCATTCTTTTAGTCGTTTGTTGGGATTGAAACGGAATCATGTCTGATATCGCCGGAAGAACAAGGAATATCGAAGTAGTTCTTTAGAAAATCTAAGAACCCAGAGCTCGCAGCCTATGCCGCTTATCATTTATAGACCTGGTAGCAACCGTAGAGAGGAGACCCGCTGGAGCAGTCGCTACAGTTACTTCGAGAGTTGATACATAGATCTCGGTCTCAATCTAGGAGCTGAGGCAATCGTGCAAGAGTTTACCAGACAGCATGCTGGGGTCAGAAAGAGTGTTCGTAATGCTGGAATGCAAGTTAATTGCCGGGGAGCTACGCAGCCAAAGTCTTTCGGCTAAGTTCGTCGTCGAGGAGCACGAACTGGGTTGCGGTCAAGCTTACCTTCCATACTTTATGAGTCGGTACTATGACGACTTCTGCGACTTCAGGGTGGGCGCGGAATGGATTAAGTTGGAGTTTGAGAAGAGAGGTATACGAGGGCACCGTCCGGGAACTTACCACCCCTTCCATTTAAGCGTCGGCTTCGGGCCATGCAATTCAACGTACTTGGCCTCATTCAGACTGCTTGGTCCAGTTGGCTAAGAAATCCCATTTCGGTCGCCCTAATCAGGCAAAAGTCCCTCACAATCTTGCCTGCGTATCGTTGATAAGATAGCCCCAATATCGGTTTTGTGAGTACCTTCAAATGCACACTGTCTACGGAGCCCGGGGTGTTTGAGGCGGAAGTCTCCTACACATATGAGGGGTAATCCCATGGAAGCATCTGGTCGCAGGCATGCCAATTGATATTTGTCACTACTCTTGCAAAACAGTGTCGAGCTCTGTGACGTGACGACCATGATGGAGAGTTACGCTGCAAAATTGACTAATTCTTCGTGAGGAACCATAATGAGAACAACGGAATCGATCAAGAAACGCACCGGTTGCGAGCAATGCGAAAGAAGAAAGGTCGAATGCGATGAGTAAAAGCCGATTTGCTCTCGCTGTGAAGAGCGTCGAGAAACTCGCAGCGGGCATTTCGAGATCGAAGGGACATGGGGAATCGGACGCCCGTGGTTCACCGCTGGCCAAGGCTCCGTGACAGGTCTCAGAAATCGAGACGATGCGATAATGATATAAGGAAGCATGTCTCATTATGGCCGTGTTGCCACCACCCACAGATCCGTTGTCATTCACTCTAGCCAAACGACTCCAACGATCTAAGGCGCCACGTCACACCATCCAATGTGTGTCGGATAGCCATCGAAGGGAATTCGATCCCTGTGACCTCACAGGTGCACTTCAGGAGAGAAGCTTGGCGATTGTCTCTTTTCGGGGTCGAATTAGCCGGATCCAATCAACGACATGCCATCCCGTCCTGATTCGTGTCATGAATATCTCCTCCCTTATCCTCTGTCTCTCAGCAAGCTGGCTGAATTCCTCACGACAAGACTTTGAAATGGAGTTTCTTTCTGGCTGTACGGAGTTAATGCGTATGGTGGCTAACTTGCACGCAACCGATGAGTTCGCTTTTTATGTGTTGGGCATGTACACATACTGCGAGTGCTTCTCATCTTATTTGGTTCCTGCATCGATTCAGGGAACGCCGGACCAGAGGGTCCTTTCCCTTGCCCACAAGCCGCCCTTCAGCACATTGATCCACCCTGTCACAGGAATCGCGACCACGCTGTGTCCCATTATCACGGAAATAGGGCAGTATTACCGCGCCGTTGTGGAATGCAAGGAATGGTCCATGAGGCGAGACCAAGATCTGAGAAAACGACTCCTGGAATGGAAGTCCTCGGAAGGGTGCTCTTCTGTTTCTCAACTAGAACGACTGAGTGAAGGGTACAGAAGCATGGGAGATATAATGCTCTACCAAGCGCGAAGCGTGTGTGAACCCTTGGATTCCATCGACTCATGGATGCTCAACGAGAAGGTCCACAACGTTATTGGAACCATTGAAGATATCCCACAGAAAGATACTTTGCTTAATTGCGTGGGACCGTTGTTAGTTATTGCCGGATCGGAGCTCCAATCAAGTTGCCAAGACCAAAGACTGGTGGTCGAACAGACGCACCAACATCTGTTATCATTCACAAGAATCCCAACTTACAAGAATGCGATGGAACTTACTAGGCATGTGTGGCATGTTCGAGATGGTGGAGGGAGAGTGACATGGCTCGAATGCATGGTCCAGCAGGGAATTGTATTAGCTTTAGGCTAGATGAATGCGACTCCGCGACAAGTCTACTTCGGGGAAGGATTTCTCAACATAGGCAGTGGAACGAAGTCTTTTCCCCCCGATCTAAGATCAATGCTCTTCGTTCTAAGCATTATATAAGTTTGAATATGTGACGTCCTGATCCCTGAAAAAGGTTCGTGAGCCGTTCCAAGGCAGTCTTTTCCCCGTCGCCTGCTCCAGCACGAATTTCACGAACATCACGCTGGTGTCTGGTAGTCCAGCTCCTCATGCTAGGCTCTGAGTTTGTATGCTCTGCCGAGATTGTAAAGCCCGGAGAGAATCCACGCTCAACGAAACGCACGTACCCAATTCGCTCATACTCAGCCTCGCCAGTCATCGCTGAACCTTTCTCCCGAATGACGAGACACGCCATCTCAGGAAAATTACCGGTCTTCAAGCCGAAATCCGTGATACGGATGATCTGAACAGGCATCGACCATGGTCCTGGTGTGTTGGTAATCGGTGTATCCAACTGAAATCCCCGAGTATGTGTGTCACCTTGAGCAACCCACATGTCTCCAATTACAAGCCAAATTGGACTGCATCCGTATTCAACGAAGACTCCAGGCCACTTAACAAGAGTTCCATGGAGAGCGTTGGTCGACAGCAAGAGATGCGCGGAGCTAAGCTCTCCAGTAGGATCAATACCAGCAGGAACACACACAGCTTCCAAGACCTCTGCAACAGGGGCATAATCTTCGGTCCCTGTCTTGCCCAGAGAGAACCAACTTCCTTTCCCCGAGTTTAGACAATCGAAATCCGAGTCGAAACGAAGAAATTCTTGGTGTTCATGTTCGAGAGAAGCCCATGACCATGTGGGAGCTCTCCACTCATCGGGCCTCCGTCCAGGCTTGTACACAAGCCAGAGCAGATCCAGATGAATGGAATCTCTCCAAAGTCCAGCGAAGTATTGGTCCTGATATTGTGGGTTCCACATCTTGGCAATACCAGCGAGAGCAGGGAACCTGTCCTTTGAAAAGGTCAAGTTAAGTTGTGCGTATTGTTTTACCGCCTGTCTCCAAGCCTTCACGCTTTGACCCCATTGAGGCGATTGAAGGAGCGAGCTCGAAAACTTGCTGTAATCAGTTGTTATGTCGGTGGTGTCGCTGGTCGCTTCTGCAAGCTCTCGGCGTTTCCCTTTGAACTTCCCGTTCAACTCTGCTAAGCTGCCGGCAAAATGAATCTTGTCGGGCAAGACGCTCGCCCCTGACGAAATTTGGCCGCACTCGCAGTTTCTCGCTGAATTGCACTCCCAATTGACCTCCGCGCCGGCAAAGTGCACGACTCTCGCGGAAAGTAGCCGTTCTTGATACACCCAAGCCCGTCGAGAAATGGGAAAGAAGTCGAAGAAGCCATCTATATGAAGGAGATCAGAGCAGACTTGTAGCGGGAAATCTGTGTCATCAACATCATTGACAAGCGAAAGCTGTTGGGCCTGGTACTTTGGGTCTGGGGACGAGGTGTAGAGCCCCCGACTAGAGTCGGTCGCCTTAGAAGCTGCCAATGTGACGTAGGCATGCTGGTAGATGTTTGCCATCTGAGCTGCTTCTTTTTGCCAGTCCAGGGAATCATCTTGAATGATGCAGAGGGAGTCGATCCATATGTATTGCAGACCGAGCCTGCGGGTGAAGTCGATGGCGTCTTGGAACGTCCGCGGAAGTGTTGACCAGGGAATTCCACTCTTGAACTGGGAGAAGTTATCTTTGAGCGTGCGCACCAAAGGCCGTTTGCCCCACGGATGACTCAAGCATGCATACACCCCCGTGGACTGTCCTGTCTCTTGCAGGCGTATGTTGTCTTCCCCCGATCCAACGTCAATGACCCGTGTCGGTAACCGGGCGATGTCGGCATTGCTGCAAAGAGGATGGGTAGAAGTGCACTCATTGATCCAGCCCGTGATCGTCTGTAGTGTATCTTCCGAGGCTGTATTGCGAAGGATGGGCTTCACATCGCCCGAGGGCCCTTTGCCACGCCACAAGTTGGGGAACCTTCGCAAACGAAGAGCCAGATCGCCGTCTGCCAGAAGTATTAGCAAGTAGTCACCAGTGATGCAACCTCTCTTATGCGCCGCGAATGATGCACCTACCATCAGGGACACAAAAGTAAATCGAGTTTCCACCGTCATCGCGGATGGCCTCCGGCGTACGTGGATAGGGAACCGTCCATTTGAGGGACCGGCCCTCAGTCAAATAGTCTCCGTAGAGCTTCCTAACAGCTTCGTAAAGGAGAGTGCAGAACGGGCAGCCATTTTCCATCTCTTGTCTCCATATGTCTTCATTCTCCAGGCTCATTTTGCAGCCACGATGCCAGACCTGGCCAGCGTCATTTTGGACCCGCTCACACCATTTCAACAGCGCACTGAGCAGAACCGGCTTGAACGCGAGGGGACTAGCTTCTAGAAGGTGTTGAGATGGAGCTTGTTGATTCTCGACAGATGATACGATTGAGCCCATGATGGCAACTAAGAACTCGCAGAGATTTTGGCTCAAGTTTACAGGCTGTGATGTTGATTGCAATGTCAGGTGTTGCTCCCTCCCCTTTCACCTAGTGCGGCTGAAAGCCCGAGTCTTGCCTGACCAATCGGTTATCGGGACCATTTTCGTACTCCAGCAAATCAGCCGCTTCTTTTGCTTAGCTGGGTCTTGGCTCTTATGACATGCAGATGACATCTGTCCAATGAAGAAAAGTCAATTTTATCGGAATGGGGTGGATCATCAGCACAATAGAGAATGAGTTTGGCTATCCGGGCAGTGTCCCCTATGATTCGTGATTGTAGAGAGAGCGATAGAAGTAGTAATAAGGATAACGATAACGATAACAATAACGACGACGACGACGACGACGACGACGACGACGACGACGACGACGACGACGACGACGATAATAATAACTACGACAACGACGACGACGACGACGATAATAATAACTACGACAACGACGACGACGACGACGATAATAATAGTATATAGTAATAACTACGAAAGTGAGAATTAGAATATAGTCGCTTTAGAAATAGGCTACGGATTACATACGTGTGTGTGGACAATGCCCGGATAGCCAGAAAGCACTGCCCGACTAGCAAAACTCTAGAGAATATGTAGCGGGGATGACAGCTAGGCTTCTCTTTCAATGCGGACCTTGAATATGATGCAAATCCAACCGTCCGGCGAAGCTGGTTTACCGTTGGTGACAGGTAATCCAACCTGAACAGCGAAAATGTCAAGGAATGATCAAGGCGATAACGAATATCACTGCCGGGTGCCAATATTCATGTGCAGCTACTCGTATAGCCAAGAATATAAGATTAGGGGGTGCGTGACTTCAGACGAACACCATGACTTCTTTGGCTGAAAAGCTGGCCGAAAGTATGTTGAACAATGCCATCACATGACAACATGCAAGTAACATCTAAATAGGCACCGGAACCAATTTGAGTCTTATTTGTAAAGAAGATAGGTTAGCGGGCTATAAGCACCAATATACTCCGTGCCAATTGCCCCTTAAGATCAATAATCAACTTGATGTTAAAACAGGGAAACCATGAATCGTGTAGTTTGCCAACCCTGCAAACCCCATATGCCGTCCCAACTTACTCAACCATCCAGCAACACCCCTCCACAATGCCCCCTCACTGAGGAACCCGGCATCAGCAGCGATGTAACGCTGACATGACATCCCCTCTCCCCGCGGGTATCTTACTGCATCTCTCCGTCTTTAAACGGCAAGAACACCACTCTCAGGCCGCCGGAAAGCCTGGACTACTCCAACCGATTGGGCCCGTGCCTTGCTCCCGCATGCAAGGAACACGAGGATCTCGCCCCGGGGCCGGACACGCGGAGAACCTGCAAATTAAACTAAATGACAAAAGCCACGCTCAAGGGCCATTAGGCTTGACGTCGTATCCAGGTGCTGTCCGGCACGTTGCCGCTTCGTTAAAAATGCGGGACTCTAGATTTGCTTTAAGGCTGCTTCCCGCGCTATTTCTTTTGCTCTTGGCTGTTTATTTGCTTTTCGGTACCGACAGGGTTGAAGTTGAGATGAAGTCTTTCGGGTTCTTTGCGCTTTCGCTGGCGTCGCTGCCTTTGTGCTCTGGCGCGCCGTCGTTTGCGAGGGGTGAAGATGCCGCCTCAACGTTCCTTTCTGAGCTGATTGCATCGACACAAGCCATCGAGAAACGGTCCCCGAACGTCTCGTGTCAGCAGAGTGCCCTTGCGGTGGACCTTGGGTATGCCAAGTATGAAGGCTACAGTAATGCGACAAGTGGGCTGAACATCTGGAAAGGGCAAGTTCACTTTCTGCAATCAGGGTGAGCTATGGCTGACCATTTTCAGCATCCGGTACGCAGCGCCGCCGACAGGCGCCCTTCGCTGGCAACCTCCTCAACCACCGTCTCCCGAATTCTCCAATGGGACAACACCGGCGACCGAATTCGGTCCCTTCTGCCCGCAAAACTACCCTGCCGTGCCGGCAGCACCGTTCATCCCCGGCTCCGAAGACTGCCTTTTCCTGAACGTCTATGCGCCGGCTGGGGCTCAAGACCTGCCAGTGATGGTTTGGATTCATGGTGGCGGATACGGCTTTGGTGATGGACGGCAGGATATGTCGGAAATTCTCAACGCGAACGACAATGGGTTCGTGGTGGTGTCTATCCAATATCGCGTAAGCTTTCCAGTCATTGAGTCTTGAGGTTACTGTGCAAGACTAACCGCCAACAGCTCGGTGCTTTCGGCTTCCTGTCTTCTGCTGATATCAAATCTCGAGGCGTGGTCAACGCAGGATTGTTGGACCAGGCGCTTGCTCTTGCTTGGATCCAAAAGCACGCCTGCAAATTCGGCGGAGATCGCAAAAGGATTACGATTACCGGCGAGTCGGCCGGAGCAGGTTCGGTGATGTATCATGCGCTAGCGGTGGACGGCAGCCTTGGTTCGCTGTTTTTCACAAACGTGAGTGATCAAGGCCGTGCTGCCATGAGTTCAACAGCTGACTAAAGGACCAGGGCATTGCGGCTTCACCGTACCTCCCGTTTCAGTATGGGTTCGACGCCGAGTTCCCAACTCAGAGGTATCAATCTTTCGCAGAGAAGGCGGGTTGCTCTTCGGAAGCGGACATTCTCGAATGCCTCCGAGGAAAGGATAGCATGATTCTTCAAGAAGCTAGCGCAAACACCACTGCCGAGCAGACTTATGGCCGATGGTATGTCTCTTGATACTGCCTTGAATGATTTCATTTGCTAATCGAGATATCTAGGGCTTTCTCCCCGGTCACTGATGGGGTATACATCAAGGGCCTGGCCAGTGAGCAGTTGACACAGAAGAAAGTTAACGGCGAACGCCTTCTTGTCGGGGTAAGTTGGTTGATCCGTAGTTGATATGTGATCATGACTGACAGTAGAGCGACAGAACAACGCCAATGAAGGCCCTCTCTTCGTACCTCCCAACATTGCCAGCAACTCCGATCTCACAGCTTGGCTTAAACTTTCGTTTCCCAACCTTTCAGGGGCACAGATCGACGACATCGTAGCAAAGAACCCGACCAAGACCGGAGCAAACGACACCCGCTTCGAAACAAACGGGCTGACGGGTCTCACGGCCCTTGACATTAGCCAAGCCGGGGCGGGACCACTGCAGCAAGCCATCGTAAATTCGTTCGTATCCCGCCGAAAGCAATGCGCTGACGTGAGACCCAGAACATATATGCCGAGCAAACGTTCGTCTGCCCGAGCTACTGGCTCTCCTCCGCCTTCACAGGCCTCAAGTCTGCCTGGCACTACCAATACTCTGTCCCCTTTGCCTGGCACACCTCTGATGTCCCCGCATACTTTGGGCCGGCGACCCTGAACCAAGGGCCGGAGTTCGTTCTCGCCTTCCGAAAGATCTGGGGCAACTTCGTTACGAAGAATGACCCGTCTATCAGCAATGAAGAGGCGAACGGTGCATCGAGCGCTGAGGCTAGTGCGACGAATGGGGCGAGCCAGTGGCCTGTTTGGACAGAGACGGAGCCGAAGCAGTTGAATCTTAACCAGACGGGCGGCGTACCGTATCAGTTCACCACCCAGTGGGGTGTAACCGTGACGCAGTTCCAAGCACCCGGACAGGTGAACGCGATTGCTGTCGTGCCTGCAGATTCGTGGGAGGGCGGACGCGGGTCTAGATGCGAATTCTGGAAGACGATGGCACCGAGCATCCCGGCGTAACGGGCGTGAGGTTCTCCGATGGTTTTGCCGGCTCGGCGAAGGCTCTTTCGCTTCACTATTTGTACAAATTTTACTAAAGATTAAGTGACCAGAGATTTGATGACGCTCGCAATTGGCGGTATGGACGTGAACAAAACGGTGATGGTGCCGAACAAGCTCATAGACAAACTCGACAACGCAGCCGCACGAGGGTCAGTCCGGAGAAGCAGGGCCGTTGCGATCGCCGATGAGTTGGCGCCGAGCGTGACTCCGCGCGTAATATAGTCATCTGTTTGAACGTTAGTCCTTTCATCCACTCACAGAAACCGGGCTTCTGACCTTCGGGAATTTTGAACCATCCCAGCATCCGCTGTCCAACAAGCACGCCGACAATGCCGCTCATAATGGCAATCGCAGCTACCGTGTTCGAGTCACCTCCCAGATTCTCCGTCGCAGGAAGGGCAAGGGCGAGCGTCAAGCTGCGAGATGCAAACGCTAGGGATCTCTCTGCGCTGATCCCGATGGCGTAGCAGATCTTGGGGTACGAGAACAGACAGCCAATGGACATTACGATGTTGGGCAGGACGATCGCGACGAAGTGCTGCTTCAGCTCGCGGCGGTATTGGTACATTGGCAACGCAAGCGACACGATGCTCGCATCCAGGACGGTGCTGAACATATCTCCAGCGCCCGGGAGACGGCCAGAGTGGGTGTGGAGCCATAGGTACGTGTAATTCGCGCCTGTTCGGAAAGATTGTAAGGTTGTCGGCAAGCTGTCGCCTCGGATCGCCGCCAAAGTCCAGATACTGAGGACGGAGAAGAGCGAGGAAACGAGCACGGGGTGGAGGTACTGGCGCCAGTTTGCTGGGATCGAGGCGGCGGCCATATAGATGAGAATGATGAGGCTCAGATGGAGAGGCATGCCGTATCCTGTCGCGTAGTATACTGGGAAGCCGACGAAAAGGAAGATGGCAGCGTAGATGGTGACGTCGAGATGAGCGCAGATCCAAGCCGCCCAGAGCTGGGCGCGCGGCATTGGCAGAGGGACTTGGGGAGGGAGAGACGTATTCTGGACTGTGAGAGTCTCATCTTCGTTGTCGGAAGCTCGGAGAGGGCTGTTCGTGGCTGGAAGAAAGTTGTGAGTCGCGTTTTGAGAGGTGGGCGGCGGCGCGATGGTGTTGAGGGATAAAGAGGACGGCGCGGCGGAGATGGTTCGCGATCCTGGGGTCGAATCGGTGCGCGGAGGGGTGTCGGCGAGCGGGATCTCGTCGGTCTCGTTGCCCATCTCTTCTGCACGTTCAGTGAGAGCGCGTTTGGAGGATCCGAGGAGGAGTTGGAGGCCGCGGGTGAGGTAGGCGGCGAGGGCCATCATGATGACGAAGCCGATGACTGGGGGGGGCGTTAGGAGCTTCTGTTGCGAGGGGTTTGGGTTTCTCACTGAAGACGGCGATGATTTTCATGACCTCGATGATTCCAATAGAAGGACTGAGAGGGAGCATGATGAAGGAGGGAGTGAAGAAGACGTTGATCCATCGGAGGGACCAACCAGCCTGCCGGAGTTAGTTGCGGTGATCGCAGTGAGTAGTGAGATGCTTACCGGCACGTCAATGACTGCGACTATAGCCTTTGTTTTGTGGTTTCCAAGAACCAATTCCGACAGGAGCAAGCCGAAGAACAGCAGAATGAGACAGGCGACGGAAGCTGGGAACGAGACGCCGACGGTCTGGAAGATGACGCTAACGCCGAAGCATGCGGCGAGCATGGCCATGATGCCGAAGGGGACGTAGAGCCATGAGATGAGGAGTTTTGGGGCAGACTGAAGTATAGCCTACCAATAGTGTTAAAAACCCGCGAAGCAAAGTCTTTTGACGCGATTGGGACACAAACCAGCTTTATCGCCTCAAAGGCGTCCACGAGGTTTATGAGCCATTGAGGCCCGGCGATAGGGCGGTTGCTCGCGGTTGTCATGGTCGCTTTTGAGGGCTCAGATGCATCACAGGCTGCTGGTCCTCTTGAAGTTCATGAAGATGATCATACACACAATTATATGTATCAGTGGCTCAGACGCAACTTACATATTATAACAACTCGGTGACGTCGCGAAGGATGAGCAAGGTTCGATTCGGTCAGTTATCGCTCTGGCATCGGACGATGTCGCCGTCCAAATTAGTCAATCCGCTTCGGTTTTAGCGAATCACCTCCGATGCCGCGCCGAGACACCCACTGTAAATTAGTCTCTGTGTCAGCACTGCAGCGCCGTCTGCTGAAGAAATTGAGCTTCCATGTGATAAGGGGCGCCGCCTGAGATATCTTTGCTCACGCAGGCCCGCCGATCGGCATGACTTCCGAGGGAACGGAATGCATCCGAACGGTGTCGCTCCATCTGATGCAGGAGCTAAACCCTCGCATTTCTCGCTGACGGGATGAGATGTGGCCACTGTCAATCTTGAACATTCGCGTTCAGTCTTCGCCCTTTAAATGACAGGCTTCCCAAAGTCACCGCTTACTCTTCGCTACTACTGACGAGGTGTTCCATTCGACGCAGCAAAAGCCACGCACAAACGTCTTATTTGTCACAGTATGTGAGCATCGAAAGCACAAAGAATCTCATTTTCTGCATCTGCGAATACCTCCAGCTAGTAAATGCTTTCCATGCCAAACTCTTCCCCGATTACCGCAAGTCCATATCTCATTATGACCGAGTCCAAAAATAAAAACCATGGCAACCGTGTGCCAGTTCGAAAGCAACCCTCCCAACCCTCTCAGATTGCCGTAAATGACAACGATGCGCTGACGTTGCTGCGTTCGTGTACTCCGCATCAAAAACTACCGTCGGCGTCTACTTCATGTAGAAATTGGAAGCCAGGACACGGAAACAAACGTCTTGACGCGGAACGGCGCTGTCTTTGATGTTTGAATGGCGCATGTTGAACACATCCTTGGTCTGCTTGAGTAGCTTGAAGACTGCTGTGATGGAATTGACCAGCTGGTCGTTCACACCTTTGACGTTCTCGATCTCAACCCACGTCCGCTGCTGATCGTGGAATACCGCCAAGTTTTGCTGGCGTGCCTCACCTAGAAAGCGATGTCAGTCTTTGTAAAAGGGATAAAAGTTTTGGCAATCGTAGAGCTGTTTGAAGATGCAAACATACCTTGCCTCTGTCGAACCCATTCCTTCACCTCGTCAATTGTGACTCCGGTGGTCTGATGTCTGACGAAATGATTTGGTTTCAGAGTAACGAACACAAAGACATTCTGAATGTGAGAGAAGTTCTTGGAAAACATGGCAAGCTCGAAGGAGCAGAAGGGCACATTCAAATGTTCGCGGCTGTCGTTGGTCACATGGGGCCAACATCTAACCCTGCATTCCAGACTTTTGCATTTCTGATCGTTGAAGTAAATGCCGATGTTGCGAATGCCTGGCTCGTGGATTCCATAGGCATTATAACGACGGGATAGTTCAGTCGCACGAACCCCCCAACTCATAATCACTACGCCTAGTCGCATGTCCAAGGCGAGAATATCTTGGTTGCCGCGCAAAGCGAGGTGGACGTTTCCTCTGAGGGATTCGAACTTGGCGCCGAATTTGTGCTCAATGAAAGACTTGAAGTCTGGAATTGCGCCGCCAAGCTTCATAAGCTCATTGAATTCTGAAGTCTTGGTGAAGTGGCTCGCTTGAAATTTCACCACGCCGCCAGTCGACGAATTGGCTCCTGGCCCGCGAAGTATACATCGCGCATGCACTACGGCCGGGGAATAGTTGACGGCTGACTCGAGTATCATGTTCTTGATCTCAGGAGGGAGGCGTGGAAACAGATGAAAGGTCGAAAATGGTTCAGTCTGCTCTTCGGAGTTTGCTGTGGAAAGAGTGGCTGCGTTGCTGACAGGGGCAGTTTCATCAACATCGGCGGCGGCAGTGGAGACCGCGTGCGACTCATCGGGATAATACGTGTCGGAGGACAACTGTCCAGGAGATTGAGTCTTGTTTGCCATCTTGCTCAGTTGGTCGGAGATGGAGAATGGGGCTTCCAAAACAAAGTATGCCTAGAGATGATCAGTTAAGTTGAGCTGTAATAAAAGAACCGTTGTTGTGTAGAATAGAGATCAGGTTGAAGATTGGGCTGAGTAATTTCTGGGGGATTGAAGTATGGGTTTGGTTCTCTTTTGAATATTGTGCCGCTTCTGGGGTGGAGGGAGAATTTGTTGAAGGGTCGTTTGCAGGCTTCCGGTTGGCGGATCAAGAGAATGCAGGTGAGCTGCCATGAGATGAACTTGAGTGAAAGAAAGAAAAGTTTTGAAACGTGAGGTGTGACGAGATCGTTCATAATTCGGAGAGTGATTTGGTCGGGGAACCTCGAGTAATTCGCCGGGATGAGACTTCTGGCGGATGGGATTGCAGAGGTGAGCTTGGTTGGGAGATGTGCGAAACAGGCTTACCAATGGATGGAAATTCAAGGTGAGATTGGAGGGTCCGGTCGGGTTGAGATGCTTTTCGGAAGGTGTCGTATTGTGGTGAAGCCACAAGAGGCTGGTGGAGGACTCGAGATGAGGTTTGAAGGAAGAGCAATTCGGCCGTCCACGTGGCGCAAACCCGGAACCAAGTACTTCGGGTGGTTTGAAAACGGAAGAAATCGTGGAGTCTAGAAAGATGAAATGTGACGAATTTGGGTGCGGAGGTCGAAGGCCTCCCCTGGGATGGTAGTTGTTGAGGTTGCGGCCCTGGAGGTTTGGGCGAGGCCTCGTTTGTGAAAGAAGAAGGGAGAAAGAGGTAGAGAGAGGGGGGGGGGGGGAGATTTTCCTTTCGAATGGTTTTGCTGCTTTTTGAAGAAGGAGCTCCAAATACAGAAGGCGCGTGTGCTTTCCTTCGTCCTCGATTGGAAATTGAGGGAGCCGCAGCTGCCAAACTTCAACTACCAAGGCAAGACCCGTCAGACTTCACACTTCTCGCCTTCTTTATTCGATTTAGAAGGTGAAACTGTTTTTCACCTCCGCACATAACATGTTTGACACCAACAAATGTTTGTTTTCTCTTGAAGCTTCCACAAGTCTATCGAGTACAAACACAAATAACCACATAGTCTTCCAGGAACCCTAATTACTTTTCTGTGTCTCATATGATACGAATAAAACAAGGTTGGTCAGCCCTCGGGTCGTCTATCATCTGACCACTCAGCTGTATGCCGTGCTCGGCGTACCTTTGAGTGCTGCCAGACATACATCGTATACACTGCTGGCTTCTGTGAGAGTTCTGAGGTCCATACTGGATTGAATTCTCAGATCCCATCGCACCAACTATTGTATCACGAGCCCCACGGGCGAGGCGATCCATCCAGCTAAGGTAGAGTCCGGGGCCGTTGCAGCCGTCTGCCCAGCTGTTCGGGGAGGTACGTTCCTCGAAGGAGACTCTTCCGTCTGCAGTCTCATCGCCAGCATAGTCGCCATGAAGCAAGGAGTCTTCTTCCCGCTCGTTATTTGCCCATGCCTGCTACGGTCTTCGCCAAAACACCACAGCGAAACCAGAACGTCGTTGGGCTCAATACGACGTCGCCCGAGTCCGATGTCTCCGCGAAGTTTGGACAAAGATCGTCGCCTCTATCGTCGACCTCCATCGTCGACCTCCATCGTCGTCCTCCATCGTCGTCTCTATCGTCGTCTCTATCGTCGTCTCTATCGTCGTCTCTACCGTCATCTCTACCGTCATCTCTACCGTCATTATTCTTATCGCTACCCCTATCGGTTTCTCTACTACGGCTGTCCTTGTAGAAATACTAGGTACGTTGTTTAAAGTTGTAGGGTATAGTGCCCGGCTTCCTAACTAACACTGCCCGGTTATTAAGTCTTTGGGAAAGCTCTCATGCGGACAGTTCAGTGACGGCCTGTACATGATCTCAATTCAGTTTCGCGCATCTAGGTATCAAAAGCTGCAAGACCTCGCGTCCACTTGCATCATACGAGATCGTTCTCTTTAGCCCACTCATGTTCCTCTCGTGGTCATTGCGATAGCACCTATGACAATTGATCGGGTCTTCGGTTCTGGTTTGCCGAAGCAGTCATCCGACGACGTAGTCGGAAGCCGTGGAAGCTTCCTGTCGCTCGCCTGGGTACCATGACCATACGTCTCCATCGTTCTACCTCGGTCTTCTCGTGCTCCGCACGCGCTTGATCGCGTTAATGAGCCCCTGGTTGGCAAAGGACCGATTCTCACGGCCGAATTCCGGACTGGCTCCGCTCGATGTCCGTTTGCGGCGATGAAAGAAACCGAAAACCTCGTATCGGCATCAATAAACAGCTCACCAAGAACATCTTCGGAGCCGAGCGGAGTAGGAAGAAAGAAACTCCTCGAAACTTTCGCCCGACTGCCGAGAGCTGGGACAGATGTGGTTGAGATCGACGTCAGCGCTCCCGTCGTTGTTATCGGTGATATTCAGGGGCACAGCATCGGTTTTCCCAAACCGCTCCTCCAATTGCTTGGAAACGGGACGGTAATTCTGATTGCAGGAGGTGACTGGAATGCCAACGACTCTCGCGAACCAGTTCATCCGAACCGCAAAGTCGATGACGAGATAAGCTCCGCTCTCGAGCACCGGTGCCGGGTGAACTCCCATCAAGACGGATAAGCATACTTTCTGCCGTAACGATGTCTTCTTTCCAGCTCAAGAATTCTTAGTTGCAACGCCAACCTCGTGTTTCCGCTTCCAAGGCCATGAGCATGTCTCACTCCCGCCCACTCTCAAACGCCGCTTCTTCCCACGATCGACGCCTCCACATTCCACCCACACCCCCTCAAACTATTGCGTAGTGTCTTGGCCCTGCAACAATCTCTCACACCCAGGCCGGATCCGACAACGTCTCCTGGATGCGACCCCGCTGAACCGGCTCTCGCGTGCAGAATGCAAAGAACAGAAGAAACTTTCACGACCTTCTCGTGTTCTTCTCGTGGGTTGTACCAAAGATAGCTGCAGCTTTCCCTCATTCGTCCTGTATTATGAACGCCAAAACGGCGAGCGCACGCGGATCTCACGCCATGGCCGTCCGCATTCGTCGACCTTCGGGATTCATCTTCGCGATGTTGCTGAACCTTCCTGATGAACTCTGTGAAGCGAGCGGATTCTACCTTGACCGTTTCCGGGTCTTCACCCTTGAAGAAGCTTTCGACATGAATAGTCCTCATCGAAAGAAATGCATATATCAGGACCCCATGAGCCGCTCCATCAAGCCTCCTTTCTTCTCATCATCACAACACCATTCACAAGAACAACAATCACAATCATAGCAGTCTTTCGTTTGAAACCCCACATTCGCTAACAATGTCCCGTCTCATCCTCGCCGCGGCCTTCTTGGCTGGCGTCCAAGCCCAATCCTCTTCGACCCAGGTCACCGTCGTAGTCCCCCCGACTACCACCGTCACCCCTGGCACCGTGTCCACCGTGACGCCTGCCGGTACCACCGTCATTGGCTCCGGCACTGACACCACTGTGACCGTTCCGGCATCTTCCACCGTCTCCGTGGGAACCGACTCCTCCGTTGGGACCGTTTCCTCCGTGGTCACTTTGCCGGGAAGCGACACCGTCACGGTCTCCGCGCCGACATCCACCACCGTGATCACAGCCACGGACGCTTCTGGTGCTACTACCATCCCAGTCACCACTTCAACTTCCTCCTTCATCGACCCCGGCTTGTCTCTCTCCACGACCTTTACCACGACCACCGACACAACCATCCTCACCGTCCCTCCGGCGGTCAACACCTCCCTTCCGGTGCCCCCGGTTGATCCCAACCAAACCTTCATTTCGACCACAGTCGTCATCGGAAACTCGACGACCGTGATCCCCTTCGTCCCGATCCCGCCTACAGTCGCCCCCGTGCCTCCTCCTAACAACGGCACCGGCCCTCCGTTCAACAACGGCACAGGCCAGCCCACCATCACCCTCCCTCCTCCCGTCGTGACCATCCCTCCCCCCACCGTCACGACGACATGCAACTACAACGGCACCTGCAACATCGTCACCCTCCCGCCTTGCATCACGGTCACAACCTGCTACGCCAACGGAGCCTGTGTGCCCGTCACAACCATCACCTACCCCATCACGACTCCCACACCTCCTATCGTCCTCCCTCCTCCTACGACTCAGCCGTACGTGACCACCGCCACACGCTGCCGCTTCAACGGAACCTGCGAGACCATCACCAGAACCTACCCCGTCCCGCCTATTGTCACCACAGGCCAGACCACCAGGACCAGAACTTATACTACCTGCGATGCTAGCTGCCGCGTCGTCACGACCGTCCAAACCTCAAGCTACACCCGTGTCATCCCCCCTGCCAGCTTCACCACCCGTGCTACTGTGCCCGGAACTCCCCAGCAACCCTCTCAACCTGGTGTCCCTGGCACCCCTCAACAGCCTACTCAGCCCGGCGTTCCTGGAACTCCTCAGCAGCCCACTATCCCCGGACAACCCCCTGCTCAACCCTCCGTCCCGGGAACTCCTCAGCAGCCTTCCCAGCCCGGTGTCCCCGGCACCCCCCAGCAGCCAACCCAGCCCGGTGTCCCCGGCACCCCCCAGCAGCCTTCTCAACCTGGTGTTCCCGGTACTCCTCAGCAGCCAACCCAGCCCGGCGTGCCTGGAACTCCCCAGCAGCCTACTCAACCTGGCGTCCCGGGAACCCCTCAACAGCCAACCCAGCCGGCCGGCCAGCCCCCTGTCACCCCGGGTAAGCCTACTACTGCCGTGCCACCCGTTGCCACCGGCACCAGCCCTGGTTCAAGCCCGACGCCGGTGGTCACCGCCGGCCAGAAGGCCCTGCGTGTCGAGATGATGAGCTTGGTTGGAGCCATCGCCGCGGGCATGCTCCTGTTTTAAGAGAGCCATATCACTTCATGAGCATTTTGCATATGCTTGGAACAAAACAAGTCTCCTTTTTATTTCCTTTGTCAAAGGCTCTCTAGAATTTGGCCGGAAAAAAGCATAGATCGCGATAGAAGTTGAACGAAGGGGTCTCTAGATAGAGATGATAATGACCAATAATATTAATGATAATACCTTGTTGTCTTTGTGAGTGACTTGTGAGCTATCATTGTGTTCTTCATCTATGAACCTCTTGTTCTCCATGTCTCAAGCAACCTCTTTGGCCGGGCTCATGTATCAAAGTGCAGGACGAAGTCGGCAGTGTCAAGTCATTCTTTCTATCTTGAAGCTATATTCAAGGCCGATCTATTGAGTTTTATTATTATGGCCATCGTCTTTGTCGTTATCGTCGTCGTCGTCGCTGTCGTCGTTGTACTGAGTACTGCTATCGTCCAATGTCACTATCGCCCGGCTAGCCATTGTTGTCCGCAGAATATCAAAGGCCACTCTCATTTACGATCTACCGAGACATCTTGGGTCTTTCAGAGTCTTAGCACGTTCGAACAAGGTTCAGCAACTTAATGGTCTCAAGCAAGCACTTCAACCTTGTTTAGATATCTATAAAAGGTGATTTCCCTAATATGTAACATGGACTCAAGACATCCAACTTCTTCCTCCATCGCAGGCAGCTTCGTATTGTTGTCCTGCGCTTGTCCCGGGCAACAATACTGCAATGGAGCTGTGCAACACTCGAATCGCCCATATGGGAGTTGTGGAATGCGAGCGCCAAACCTTCCTCGGAATATGCGCGATTCTGGTCAGTTTTCTTCTAGGCCTTTTTATCCATGCTCTTATTCCCCGATCCCATGCTACCGCGTCATCTGTACCACCACATTTCGTCGAAACCTCGGCTACTTCCCAGCCTCGGAACGCTGCGCCATCAGAACCCGCAGGGCTCACGACGACATCGGGAACAGAAACACCCGCCGAACGGAGTGCCGATGACGGCGAGACCGAGACTCAAAAGCCGAATACAGCCCTCGTTTCAACCGCAAAAGCCCCCAAACACCATGCGATAGCTATGGCTCATCCGCCGCTGTTCAACACGCCTCTTGTCTTGACTGCCGAGCCTCGACCACCGTTCCGGCCGAACCTTCGAAGCTTGATGCAGATTCCGACGACTTCTTTGCCGCCGTGGGAATTCGCTTTTGAAACCAACGTCAAAAACAGCCGCCTGCTTCACCTCCCGGAAGAAATCCTGCTTCTTATCCTGCAGCTGGCCGACATTCCAGACTTGTACATGTGGCGCCAAGTTTCATTCACATTCTGGCGCATCTACCAGAGCAAGTATTTCCGTAATTTCCATCGGGACGGCAAGTTGTTCTATGAGATCGAGAAGGAGGGGCTGAAAGGCTTCGAGCACGATGAAGAGACTAAGAAACGGGCAAGAGACCAGGCGTATTGCGATAGGTGCATCGCCAAGACACAATCGAAAAAGATCGTCAGTCCCATATGGAGCCTCCAGTTCAAGACGCTCTACTGTTCTTTCTGTCGAAGAGACCATCCTCGATCCTGGTTCTCGCACAAGGAGCGTCAAAAGAAGTATGTCGGCCTTCGCTGTGTTTCATGGGAGGGGCACTTCCGAGTCTGCCCTCACGAGACTGTGTCTATGCCGTTGATCCTACAATACGTCGATCGTATCGGCATAGCCGGAAAGGATCGCCACACATACCACGATATTGTCATTTGTCAGGTCTGCCAGGCCGTTGCTGGCAAGCTCGCGGGGGAGGATATCCGCACTCGCAATAACATTACTCCCCCAAAGGTTTCGTTAGTGAATGCAGGGCCGGACTACCGAGACCGTTCTCAGGTCATGTTCTTGATCGATTGGACACTCCCTGTCTTTGAGATTCCCGAGGACCGTGGTGTTACATACCTTTTCCTACTACAGCGCTTGAGAGAGTTTGAGAAGACATACGGCGACATGCTGTGCCCGCACCTTCCTCTCGAGAGACTTCTCGCGCCTTTTGACTCGCGCCTTTGTGTCTGTCTCGGAGGCGACAGAAGAATCGGGGGCATATCGCCATGCGACCGCAACATCGACTGGGTAGACAAGCATCACCCAGCTCGCGGTTGCAAAAGAAAAGGCACGACTCGGATCTCGGGTGTTTTCCTGTCCCAAGATGACAAATACCCAGTCAAACACGAAGTCACGTGTAGAGATTATTGTGGAAATTTCGTCTGGACCAGAAAGGACCGCTTCGTGTTTCTTAGCAGGCACACAGCTGCTCTTGTACATGCAGACGGTACTGGGACGCCGTGGTATGCGCATGCCAACAATTTGCTGGAGCCACAATCGTACGGGGCAAAGGACGACATCGAGGCGAAGCATGTCTTATGGTGCGATGATAAGACCTGCAAGAATGGCAGGAAGTGGAAGAATAGTAGACACTGATTTCGATTCAATAAGTTCGCAACACCGATAGTCAAGAGGCTCCCGCTCGGAGCATATTAAGTAGGAGACTGGTGGTGATCGGATCGACATGAACGTAGACGCTGGCTTCGGCACCCCCAATTTCAGCGGAGGTGATCATTTTACAACGATCACAGGGCTTTAAGGCAAAAAAGAAGACTCAGGAATAAAACCACGCACAAGCTAGCTTAGAGGATACAACTTAGATACGAAAATAACGAACAATCTTTTCACTGATATCGAGCCGTCTGTGACGGACTAAGGCTACCTAGGTACGCCAAACGCCAAGCCATTCCTGCCTCCAGAGATATTTTACAGCCACAATTACGCACCACGGGGCTTCGCCTTGGCCGCCGCCTTCTCCTTCTTCTCAAGCTTCTGCTTCTTCTTCTTCTCTTCGTTCTTCGCATCCAGCTTGCGCTTGGCGTCAGCCTTCTGCTCCTCCGTCTTGGGAATCACCTTGAAGAATCCGTCCAGGCGAACCTGCTGGCTGCTCTTCAGGTTCTTCTCCAGTCTAGCTCCTGCAGAGCGCACACGGTCCTCTGAGAATCCCTTCTCGGTGACGAGGAACTGCACCAGACCATCCATATCAGGCTTCTCCCACTTGAAATCGCATAGCGGGTCGTCGGCCGGGCGGACGTCAGGCTTGAAGAAGAGCTCGCGAGCGTCCTGGTAGGGCCAGTCCTCGGGAATCTGGTATTTGCCCTTGGGGTCTTCCTTGATCGCCTCCACCAGCTTGTCCAGAGTGCCGTGCTCGCGGATGAGCTTCAGGGCGGTCGAGGGGCCGACCTTGGGGATCGGGTCAAGGTAATCGCAGCCGAGGAGAATGCAGAGATCGACGAACTGTAGGGTCAAGTCAGCGAATGATATCAGGGTGTTGGGGAGGAAGAATACTAACCTGCTCACGCTCCATACCCAGGCCCTCGAGCACCTTGTCGATGTGGACCTCCTGAATGGGCTCCTTGCGCTGCTCGCTGAAAGTCAGGTGGCGCAGGAGGATGGGTGTGTCGAAGGTAAGGGTATCCATATCCTCGCTAGCAGCTGCGTAGACCTTGCCGGCGCGAGCCAGCACGGCACACTGCGCCTCAGCTTCGGTCGGGGCGACGATGAAGGGGATGCCCATCAGCTTGAGCAAGCGCTGGCACTCGGCATTGTGCTCGCGGGTGACGCGGACCGTCCGTCTGGAGAACTTCTCGACGTCTTCGGCCGTTCCAGTCTCCTTAGCCTCCTCGAGGTTCTCGTTGGCCTCCTGCTTTCGCTGGAATCGCTTGGCCAGCTCGCCAGACTTGAGCTTGGGCGGGGCACCATCGAAGACATAGAGGGGCTTGATGCCGTTGTCGACCATTCGCAGGGTGCGGTAGAAGAGACCCATCAGATGCGAGGTGGTCTCGCCGCTCTCGTTCATGAGCTGCTGGCCATCGGATCGCACGGCGATGAGGAATGAGTAGATGCTCATAGACCTGGACACAGAGTCAGCGAGGGGCAGTCGACGACGGCGGGGGAGGGAAGGGGAAGACGCACGCATCAATGGCGACTTTGCGGCCAAAGTGGGCCTTGATCTCGCCCTCCTTGATGGCATTGGGAGCCTCCTCCTTGATGATCTGGTAGAGGTTTTTGATACCCATTTTGCTGTCGTGGTCGCGGGAGTCGTTGGATGCAGGGAAGTCGAAAAGTGCGAAAGGTTGACGCGCCTGGTGAGGTCATGACGCGCCGCTGGACGCGTTAAGTGGCTGACTAAGGGGGCAGGCAGTCTGTGCGCACACCCCGGCCACTCCAAGGAAGGAGGCAGCGACAGGGATCACGATGCAGGCAGAAGGAGCTCAAGACATGGAGTTGTGTCGATTTTTGACGTCGTGATAATCTTTTGCCATGTTGAGCATTTTCGAACGAGTCCTTCCAGGCAAAATTTGTGTCGTAAAAATCCCTATGTCCCAAGGCCGCCGAAAAGGCCAACAGCTGGTCACACGTATCATGATATCACTCGCTCTGTTTGCCTTCTCCTTTGCGATCTCCGTTGCTGCCCTCGTTGCCTTTCCCCATATCCGTTGCTGTCTCTGGGCTCTGTCTCTGGGCTTTGGCTTGATTCTCGCTCTTTCTTGCTGGTGTCCAAATTGTAGCTCAAGTCGTGCACGACTACCTCTCCAGCGCTGCCTCTCCAAGCCCAGAGGACGGTTGTACTCGCTTCGTGCGGCCATTTCCGGGAATCTATGCCTGTAGTGCATGCTTTCCACGATCTGAGAGTTGTCGAACCTGGAAATCGCGATGGATTATCAAAGCCTCAGGGCAAGGGAACATGTGCGCCGGGATGGGAAGAACGGACTGGAAGAGCCACAGCCAGAGGCCAAGTGCTTGGTGTTGTGTGAATCGTGAGTTAAGAGGCCATATTATGCTGGTTTTCCATATTTTCGAATTTAGCCCCAAGAAAATCGGGAGCGGTCGACGCAGATGCCTCGCGATCTCTTTGCAAAAGCTGTTGTCCGCGGCCCGCCGAAGATGGCCACGAACTGTCAAGCTGAGCTTTCCGCAAGTGGCACTTTATATA